TCCACCCTCTCGAACGAGACCACTAGCGCTCAACAACGAAATCAACTGGTTAAATGGCGCACATTTCAAAAAAGTCTCCCCCAATACTATCTAGTCTGCTGCAAGCAGCAAGTTGTGTTCTGGAAACATATCTAGTCTTCTGCAAGCGGTAGCTAGTCTTCCGTAAATAGTATCTAGTCGGCCAGAATCAGTATCCAGTCTTTTGCTAAGAGTATAAGGTGACTTAAAAGAAGAACACATTAAACTATATGAAAGATATTTTTTCCAAATTTACTAAAAATTTAAGTACCCATTGTGCTCAACTGGCACTTCAATAAATCCACCAACTTATTCAACGTACAAATTTTGCAGAATCACAGTGCTAAAAGCAATAACGTTCCATTACGTGAAATATCACAAAAATCTTTTACAAAATTTATTCATAGTTTCTGCACAAATCTTATCACATCACAATTCAAGATTTACAACATTGCAATTAGAATTCTTATTGGTCTGCAAGATATTGATTTCCTACCACTGTACGGCGGAGGCGTTGTAATCGACTCCCTTAAAGGTACAGTACGATTAAAGTCGCACCTGGACCGCCAGCTACCTCAGATTGACGATAAAATATCCTGATCTTACCATGCAAACCACTATTGTATACTAAGGCGGGAAAGATGTATTTTTACTGCTTACCAGATTATAACCCGAATTCGCTTGTAGCCGAGGCGCTACAATGGAGAACCTTAAAAATACATTTAATTATTGTATATTAAGGCAGAAAAGATATATTTTTGCTGATAGTAAACGATTAATTGAAGTTGCTTGTGAAGGAGGTACTTTAATCGAGATCTTTAAAGATAAAGCGCGATTGAAGTAGCGCCTCGTCCGCAAGTGACCTCGACTGCATTCTCTCTGCCGGTAATGATGAAACATTTTGGTCTTACTCTGTAAATGATTACTTTGCTGGTAATGATAATGGTGGTGAGATTATAGAAAGATTGCTTACGGGCAAAGTAATACAATGGAGACCTTTAAAGATAAAGTGTGATCAGGACAATGCCTCGGCCGTAAGCTGCCTTGGTTTTCTTCTTTCGGGTGAAGTTAAATCATCGTAATATTACATATAATAATCAGGTAACTTATTATTATCTATTTCTCGAGACCTTCGTGATCATTAAAGATACGATTTGTGTCTCTTCTCCTTCAGCGTGTAGTTTGATGGTAATAATATATGCCCTATATGTAGTGTTGCCTGTCGTATTCAACTCTGTGTTCAGCTTAACACTATATTACACGAATAGGCAAGAAATAAGTCTTAATTTTTATTAAAATACTTTAAGTATTTGGCATCATATTTGCCATCTTGCATAGACCAAAAAGCTTAGATACCAGAAAATATCTTGATTACCTCTCTATTCTTACATGACTTGGTGCCCAGAAATATACTAAGTTGTGGTCTGTTCATACACATTTTGCCACGTTGTCAGAATACGTTGTGGCAATAGATATTTTGTAAAGTGTGCTAAAGAGTAGGTACTACTTGGAGCAGTTTTGTTAGGTTAACTTGAAAATCGTTCCTAAAACAACGATTCTGTAAGTTGCGCTAAAAAAATTATAGTCTATTTAAAGAACCCTCTTACAAATTTCTCTTTAATGTAATGGTTTAAAAATTGATATGTTATTAAAATTACGTATTTTAAAGCATAATCTGAACACCTTCTATCTCGAAAATGGAAAAATTTAACATATAACTATTAAGGCACTGGAACTTTATCGTTATTGACTATGAAGGTATAGGTACCCCCAAAAAACTTATTGACATTTTAATTTATCTTCGGTGTTTAATACAAAATCGTTATATTTGTATTAATGTATGCAGTCAAGGAAAAACTTCAATGTATATTGGATGCAATTTTACATATTGATTATTATTATAGTTTGAAAACTTCTGATCGATGGGCGTGGGGGGTAAAATTACATCAAACGTCGGGCGCGCTTGAATAAATAATCCCCATTGGATCATAATGGCGGGATATGATAATGCCGGTCATTAGAGATGGGTATTAAGTGCGAGCGTCGGTTGGGCGGCCATTTTGTGCCATGAGTATCGCATGTCCAACGGTCTGCTGCCGGTCCTTGGCAGCATAAGTAATAGGTGCGATGCTTGCACAATGATAACTTGCCAGGTTCGGAACGGGCGTGACGCTAAGCTCCGGTCAATTCAACCACATGCGCGACCGCAACGCCACCGACCGACGTACGGCGACGCCACAAACCTCACATTATACGTTACCTCACATTATACGACTTTACAACCAGCATTAACAAGAATTTAAAAAAATCTAGCTTTCGGCTATAAATATCTGCTTTACCTAACAAAGTATTATTAGGTCATTTATATGAATGGTTTGGTGCTTCTAAATTTGATTCAATTAAACACATGGTAGATATGCAAGATTCATACTCCGCGGAATCGAGTAATTAGGTATCGACCGGTCGGTCGTCCATTGTGTATTAATAATGGGAAAATTAAATCTCCATAGGTACACGAGCGAGCATTTCGAATGCAAATTATCCCCGCCGCGTTATTTATCGACGCCTTGAATTAATAATGGCCGACCTGGAACGGTGGTTTGTAATAAGCTCACGCCAAAGTTGCAACCAGCCGAAGAAAATTATTGACTGTCAACACGTCAGTAGTCGACCCGAAGGCAGGTTTATTGGCGGCAGCGTCAAAATTTCTTATGAAAATTAACTTTTTATAGGACAAATTATAATTAGATGGTTGAGATGTTTGGTTGCAGGCGGGGCGGTTCCATAAATGGGAGCCCCTCGATGGGAAAAGCTAAATGCTGCCGGTGCCCACTGGATTAGGAACGAGGAGGCTTTATAATTGTTATCGCATGCATTTAGAATGTTCCAAGTAGCGAGAGCCTCCAGCCATGGCTCCAAGCTCCAACATGCAAACCCAATGTCTCACGCGATGGAGACCGTGTCTACGTTTATTTTAATATTCATCAATTTATGTTAATTTTTAAACACATGCTAAATTTTATAATATAAAAAAGAAACTCTTCCATAACCTTTAAACTTTAATCATTTCTAAAACATAACTTTTTCATTGAACCTTTTCGAAATCTACATACAAAAGACTATGAGGACGTGCCGATACCTTAAAAACTAACCCATTTTTCAGCGACCTGTCAGAAGGGCGACTGTTTATAAATTCGCCGCATCGCATAGGTAGTCAAATTAACGTTGCTAGAATATGCGAGGACAAAAAGTCGTTTCATTAAGACCCTCGGTTTGGACAACTTTTATGGTCCCATTCTGAGTGGACGATGCTGCCGTGATTTGTTTCGAACCATGTCCCGTTTTTGTCTTGAGTGAATCGCCCTCAACGGTATTTCATTCAATTTTATTTTCATGAAGTCAAAATACTGTTTTCGGTAATTAAGATTGAAACGGTCTCTAAATTAGATTTAATCTGCGTTTTCTTCATTTAGAAGATAGATTGTAATGTATCATAGATTAATTTAATTTGTTTTGATTGTATCCATTGAATGTTGGTCGAAGATTGATTTAACACTGAAGATCTTATTTATTTGTATCATTAAAATAGTTAACGTTTTAATGAATATAACGGTTTCTTAAAAGACTTTGTACAAAACGATGAACAAATATAGAAATAAAACATGGAAGTGCAAAAAGTCATTTCATTAAAACTCTTAGTATGGATAACTTTAATAGTTCTATTCTAAGTGGATTCTGCGATTCCTTTCAAATCGAGTCCCATATTAGTCTTGTTTTTTTATGAGACAAATTTGTAGAAAAGTAAAGTGTAGATGTGAACAAGTGGTTGAAAGAAATAAAATTGTAAAAAATCTGGATGAGTGTTTAGTTGTTAGGCGTTTCGTTACACCTTTATATAGGTTTGAAGGTAGTGGAGGAGTGATCGTTATTGAATAATGGATAGATAGATATAGGCGAGGAGAACAGATGCCCACATCAGGTCGCGGCACGTCGGTCGTCGTCAATGGTACGGCGTGAAAAAAATTACAAAGGCCGTAAATCGGCTGGTCCCCGATGCCATGCCGATGTCTATAAATTTGTTCGGCCCTCGTATTACGCACAACGTCGATATTTATCTGTTCTGGGACGGCGAGCACGGCGCGCATTCCACGGCGTCCGTTTTACAGATGCCGGCTTTTTGCCGTCGAGTCCGCACAGATTTGATGACGTACTCGGACTGCAAACCTCTCTTATTAGCCCTATTTAGGGTGGCTCTTTTATTTTTGCACGCTCGGCGACTGCGATTGTCCGATGGCCATTTAATTTCCAATGCCCCTAAACATTCGGTTTTTGCCACGGCCGCCGGGCCGATATGTGACTTTATTTCGCCGTTTCGACAGCGCCGTACGCGGCCGGATTCTGAAATCGCGGCGCGAGTGTCGCATGCCATCGAGGGCCTTTAACTCGCCCGTTCTTTTCTCAGAACCATCATCTACCATCTCGCCACCACAATCCACCACTTTATTTTATTTCTCTTACCTTACTGTCAAACACAAACGATAAATCAAAAAATAAATAAAAATCAAACTAAAACGGAAAATCGAAGTAAAAGCGCAAATTATGTTTCCTCTTGGCGAAATGTGCTCAATGGCGACGACACCACTTTAACTTATTGCTTCCTGTGGAGATCACTATCTACGGGAGCTTGTTTATTCGCGCTTTACTTGTGTTTAATTATACAATACACACAGGTGTTTGCTAGCGTTAATCAAAGGAAATTTATGCGAGCCTTCGACTACCGCCCGATTTCAGGCTACACCACGATACAATCTTATACCTCCTGAAAAACTTGACGCAACGAAATCTTTCTCAATGGGAATGAATCGTTACGTTCCTACGTGATTGCTTTAGTAATCACTAACAATTTCATCAGCACATTTTTTTTAAATTTATGTTGTTTATTCTTATTTACTCATCACATTTATTTTTCTTTTTTGTTTCAGGCACATTAAGACCTCCAGGTTTAATCGGTGGAAGTAAACCGAAGGTAGCAACTCCTGCGGTAGTCTCAAAGATTGAGCAATACAAACGCGAGAATCCGACGATATTCGCGTGGGAAATCAGGGAGAGACTGATATCGGAAGGTGAGTTACCCCCACGTTTATTTAGCACTCAGTACTGATTTTACGATCAGTTCTTGTCGTATGTTACGAGACTCTCGGCACGGTAACAAAATGGATAACTAGACATGTAACGACGGCACCGCTGACGTTTATTTATAGCGGCAGCTCACCCGGTAATTCCTCCATAATCTTTATTACGGATTCTTTGGACCAAATTACACAAATTGATCGAGTGGTTTGCAATAAGTTTAGGGGGGCAAGCTCGATGGTCGTTCATCATCTTCAATAACGTGCAATTTTCAGGCCTTAGGCTGCTTAATATCTCATTCAAACGCGCTTGCTTCTGAACAACAAAACCGAACAAAAAAACAACTAGATCTAATGTAACAATTCCTTGAACATTTTTTTATATGATAATAACCATAAATTGTTTCGAATAGATGCAAATAAACCAATTAAACAAGTTTCAACTACCAGTTCAGACGTAGTTAACTAACACACGCTTTGTCTAGGTATCTCGCGTGCAACCATAATTAGCGATAACGCGATCACATACGGTAGAATACAAACGACAAACCAACGACGGTTGACAGGAGGACGAGAGAGTCGCGTGATCGCGAAATAATAAAACAAACCGAAACCGCAAAAGACGCACTTTTAAAACTGTCGTCATTTTAAGTGGGGGCGCTGTGCGGAGGCATTTTCGGTCGACCGCACGCTAATTTCGGGGTTTGGTGCGTGAGGCGTTGTCAAAAAACCGACAGTTCAGTCGTTTCCGTATCCTTGAGGTACAAAATCAACCGCAAAAATCATAAATTAATTTGAAGTGTTTTTCTTTCCAACATTATTATTTTTTTAAAACATTAATACACCTAATATTCGCATAATCAAAAAGAGAAATTAGTCATGTAATTCTTGATGATGCATAATCGGCGAAATCGGTACAGTTTAAAATAACTGATATTGCTACTCAAATCTTGATTGGTTGAAAAAATTCAGCAACACTTGAGTTAGTACCTATAGCTTCGAAATCAATTGATCGTCGATAATCATAATGAATGCCGACTTTGAATCGTGGTGCTGAAGCCCTGACGAAATACAGTTTTCAGTTATTATTGAAATTATGTTCTTGAAGGTAGTTTGAACCTTGTGTATATGTTACCGGCAATCTGTATAATCCGGTATTCTATACAATACCTAGGCAATTTATAGAATACCTAAAACGTTTAGGTAATAGGTGAAATATTATTAATTTTATACTTTGCCTAGGTATTCTATGAAATACCGAATGTGAAGCCGGCAATGTGTGTAAAAGGCGAGAACTGGAAGGGAGAGACGTGCGGCCAGACTAGTAGAGAGGCCAGTAGATCTACGTCTTGTTTTTACAGAATTATTTTGTTTCCAAAGTTTTTAATACTTATTACTTGATTACTTATTAATTACGATTAAAAATTTTAACTTTAATGTAATTTAATTGTGATTTTACTATAGCTACAGAAAGATACTAGGTGCCTTTTTTTGTACAATAACTTATAGATTATAAAAAAGTTTATTATGAGTAAAAATTGATAAATACAGACCAAATTCTATTTATTTTACGCATTGCCGGTCGACCAACAGGTACTCTATGTAACCCCTAAGAATTGTATACATTACCTAGGTAAAGTATCTAAGGGACAATAATCTTTATAATATTTCATACATTCCCTAGACACCCCAGATATTTTATACATTACCTAGGCATTGTATAAAGTACCTGAATTATATAGATTGACGGTAACATATACATACATAAAACAGATCTGCAAAAAAAGAGGTATTGATTGTTGTTGGATGGTTGCTGACGATCATTTGCGAAGTAATTTTCTGGGTGGAATCAGTATCCAAGCTCAGAATTGGTCTATCATGTTACGATTTTGAATTATTTGAGGTTATGTACAAGAAAAATTGATTTTTTGCTACTTGTGAAGTTATATATGAGACGTACAATATTATATTGTATTCTATCTATGTTATCATATTTTATCCTTACCCCTCAAAATGGGCTCTCGAATGGTGTTATGCGATTTTTCCATTATAATTTATAGTCATTTTAAAATGACGTTATAAGTTGGAACCTTGCATATGAATCAGCACTATCAGATGCAGGGGACCTGCCAGTCCGAATTTTGTTTTGTATTTCACTTTTATTGAACCTCTTTTGCTTGTCCCATAGATCTTGTGCCATATTGCCTCTTGTGTTCGAATTGGGGTAACTATTTTGGAGGTACAAAGACGGTTTGTGACTAAGAACAAAAATAATCCTTAATATCCGGAAAAAGGATTGGATGGAAAGGATCGGTCGTGGCTGTATTAGATGGACTAATAATTATTGAACCAAGTGATGAGGTTGCGATTGAAAAGGAGATACAAGATACGACAACAGGCTGGGAATGGATAGCAATGATTTATCCATATAATAAAGTTTTGGGAGTTCGATATATTAAAGAAAATGTTGGAGCTGACTAAATTAGGCTAAACAGCAAATAAAAAAGAAGCCTTGCAGGAAAAATAAAATATGACAGCATCCAGTGCAGCTATTAAATTTAGTACTTAGGGGTGATTTTAAACGAAAAATGGATCAGCGTTTATTTAGTAGTTTTCCATCTATCATTAATATCATAGACCCAGGATTTATAACATTTTTTTTACATTAATAAGGTTGTTGATAAAGACTTATTACTGGGCATATTGGAAGCATATACAGTTCACACTACTAATACAAAATTTATGAAATTATTTAATGCAAGAATTTAAAAAATGCAAATTACTTAATTTTTGATTTCCCGATATCCTTTTTGCTTTACCATCGATACATTGATTTTTAAGAACGCTCAGGAAAACTCACATAATTGTGTGAAGCATTATAAACATCTAGTGATTTATTATTATCTGCTGTGCTGCTTCAATCAGCTTCTTGATTTATGTACATAGCAAATACAGGGTTATGTGGTGCCATTAAAGGTTGTGCTTAATATCGCATCATTGTACTTGTTTCACGAGTATATATTATCGCTTAATCATGAATTACAGTAATCTAAATATTTCCGAATATGTAATCACACGGCAAATACCTACTCGACATTTTGGTTCTACTCACGCATATTTGATGTCACCATGATTAATATAATGAGAAACTTAAGTAAACCATCCATAAACATCTTACAACGATACATATATCGCATAAGAATTAAATGTAGAACAACAAGCTTGAAGCAACAAGAATGCATAACCAGATTGCAAACTACGTCTGTGTTCATCATAACTAACTAAAAATATGGGTGATCCTTTAGTTATGACTGGCTACAGTACGCAGCTAAATGAAGAATGAAACCATATGTTCTGTGTTGCACATCTTATGGCACAGGGTGAATTAGGGGTCAACCTAACAAGTTGCTAAACAAGTGGAGCATTCACCGAGAAATGATGTTGGACAGCATGCTCACACTCTGTGTGGGTTTTTGTAAGCGTTGTGTTACTCGAAATTTAACGCGTTAAACAAGACGTAAACTAGAAAATTAACATTATGCGTGCTTTCGTTGGTATACCGCTGTACAATTGAATCTGCGGTTATTCTAGATGATATGTACATGATCAGTAAATATCGTGTATTTTCCACTTTCTCAAACGGTACCAAAAACTGGTTTTTAGAAACAAACATAATCTTAAATTAGGCCTGTTTTGGCTTAAGAGTTCTGTAGTTTCGAACAATTCTGAATCTTTCTGCGCATACATACTGCATATTACAAGTACAAAAATTATCTTGTTCTATTTGCAAAGAACTGGTTTTGAGAGAAATTCATATTTAAATAATAATATGTAAAATAATTTTACCATCTGTGGTTAAAGCTTGGTTTATAAATGCACTCCAATTTGATACGTGTTAAAGCAGGTTGTTAACATTTAATTCAATGTGTCTTAAACATCTGGATTTACACAAAAAGTTTAATGGCACATATCAGGATATTGAACAATTTGCATGTAAATAGAACAAGACAATATCGAAAACTAAGATACTCAGTGGATAATTATTGTAAATAAACATAACAAAAATATTGTAAAACATCTTTTCCTTATCGTTTAGTATTAACTGTATAATGTATTTATTTTGCGGAAACTAACTTTGTAATGTCAAAGTAAATTGCGTTACGCAATTTACGATTACATAATTTGTTATGTATGAATTAACACGTTTTAGCTTTTTAACACTTTGAAACTTTTTCTTTCTTGTATATTTTTAACAGATGTTTTAAGAGTTTGCTTTTGTGGTAATACTCTGGTAGTTGGTTTACTTATACAGGAAGCTTCGCTTGTCAAATTCTTCTTCGGTCCTTCCAGGAAGCTGAAGCATATTACCATACATTTTTCGCGGTATCCCTTACAAGAGCAGCTTGTGAACCCTCTGGCACCGTGATAAATCACGGAAACCCGTATAACGCCTTACGGTGCGATGGTCCATGTGCGACCATGATCAATGCGGTCATAACGTAGTGTGGACGGACGCATGATAAATATACAATTATTATTCATTTATCAGTCACGGCGTAATTACAAGACGTGGGCCGTGTCCTGCGGCCTCCGGCATCACTTCTTCAGCTTTTCGCGTCCCTTTCATGTATGCGGTCGGTAAAATCAGAAAAAACTACTCAACGAACGGACGGCCAGAAGTCGTTGTCGTCGCTGTTGTGTCGAAGGAACGATATTACATCGGTATTTATATTCAGCACGTGTGCATTGTTATTAATATGGCGATTAATAACGCCCCCTTTGGTGGGCGAGGCCCCCTTTTCTTTATATGTAGGTGGTAACGGGCGTTGTTTGCACGACGACGAATTTCTTTTTTTGTGTACGAGATTGGAAAGCAACGCGACGACGCGCTTCAGACCGCCTTTTACGATATCAATTACATCTTTAACCGTTCGACGATGAGCTTTTTTCGTTCTCTCCAGGTACTTCTTAGAACTCTACCAAGCAGATTAAAAGCGAACATCAACACGTACCCAAGTTTGTATGTATGGAATGATCCTCAAGTTTTATATGATTAATATGGGTATTATAAAAATCCTTTCGAGGGATCATTATATGCTACCTACATTTTAATAGCTTCTAATTTTATCACCACATATTCTTCTTTTGGTTAACTTGAATTATCTTTTTCATTTCTTATAGGGTTTATAAAAATGTATTGTTGAATCAGTTTTGTTACCGTGTAAATAGATAAGCGAAAGATGTTTCGCAGTAGTACCATTTCAATTATACCAGTCCGCCATTGGACTACCTTAGGAATGCAGATCGCGACGGGTTTCGTAGTACACACTCGCGCCAACTTATCCTTAACAAGGAACGATTGGCGGTCGATAGCTCTTTTGAGTCGCGTGTCCAATTGAGCGAGCAATCCCGCGGAGGACCTCATAGAGAAGACCTATCTGGTATATGCGCAAGTCTCCATACGAGCTTTGAGGAACCCCAAGAACCTCGTCACCGTTTGCCTACCGCTGCGGATCGTTTCATATACTGTTCAGAAGAATCTCTCTTGGAGCTCGTGTTCCATTCAGGCGGCAGATGAAAAGGGCGGAGGACTAAGCGGATTCACATTGTGCCTACTTTGGCAGCGTAGCAACGGTGTAGTCGCCGGAAGACCCATACGAGATGGATACGTGGCGTATGGTAATTGAATCAGAGCCTTTCACGTGTCGGTTTGACCACCATTATCGCCTCTTGAGAGCCGTCGATTGCGAACGTTTAATTTGCTCGATTCGTGGAACATGCACAACGGGTACCCGTCGTCTCCCGTCACTACACTGTTTATTTATTGTTAGGATGATGGGTCACTATTTTAATATGTGAAGTGTACTTAACTTCATATTAAGAAATAATACCAGTCAATTTTTATTTGTGCAACTAATACAATATTCGTGCACGTATCTCTTTTCTTAAATACGTTTCTGCAAGTCAAGTTCTTTTGCGAGAGTCTCTTCTCACAGGTGTTCGAACAGTAACAGCGCGGCATCCCTTGTCGCCTTGTTGGTCCCCGTTGTCGTCGTGCTAATAAAAGAGGCAGTCTTCGAAATTATTTGATCGAAGCGTAATTCCGTCAAATCGTGAAGAAAAATGAGGCCGGTCCGGAGCGTTGATTAGAGCCGGAGACCGCCCGGAGTTTGTTGGGGCCCCGCTACCCTCGTCGAGCGATCTGCTGCGCTCAGCGGGGGACCAGATTGCCAGGGCCCCGAACGCCCCCGGCAGCCCCCCGTACAAATGAACAGGGGCACCGCGTTAACTAGATTGCTTATCGGAGCGTTGAGCCGGCGCATGTGGACATCCGTTTCGGGCCGCTTTGTCCGAAGAACCCGGGTCTCTCTGAATGGAATCCACAGCGGTGAAGACCTCCACAGTTGGATCGATATTTACATTGATGAACGTTCGATATTAAATAGAATCCGGAAATCGGGATTTTAATGATTACGGTTTGTTAGGTACGATCTATTATGGGCAGGCTTCGATGAACTAAGCAAATTTAGCTTTACGACGGAACTCAAGTGGATCCTCTCTGTCACCGAAGTGGTTTCCTGCCTCTTAATGAAAGCCGTCGATGACCTAAACAAACACGCGCTCAGTCATTACGCTCGAACAACAACAATGGTACGCATTGTGTGCCCAAAGTGGTGACGACCACGTCGATGGCAACTTTGGTCGTAACCAACGCCAATCTTCCTCCATTCCTCCGCGTGTTTTTGTTCCTTTTCGAGATTCTCAGAAGAGACTCTCCCTTGTCGGGCACAAATTTCCCAGAAATACGCTTAGCTTAGCTTAACGACTCGTCGATTATGCCGTCAATTTGTAACAGGGGATAGTTGCCGATGAAGATCTGTCAAAGTTATGATTGACTCTAATGAATGCGCGTCTTTATAATCGGTACTATCGACCGGATGTGAACACAAAAAGTTAACTCCACTTTATCTTTTTTCTTGTTTCAGGAGTATGTACAAACGCAACAGCTCCATCTGTAAGCAGTATCAATAGAATTTTAAGAAATAGAGCTGCAGAAAGAGCAGCCGCTGAATTTGCAAGAGCTGCAGGATATGGTCTTTACCATCCCCACCCATACGCAGCCGCAGCCGCAGCTTTTCCATGGCATTCCCATTTATGGCCGAATGGACCTTTGGGATTACAACCCCCAGGAGGTGGTGGTTCTAACGTTATGGCTGGATCACCTGGTTCATCGGCTTCGCCGCAAGAGCATCCACTTTTAAGTTCACCACCTGGTGCTCATAACGACAGTAAGGATGATTCAAGTTTAGACGGATCAGAACAACCAAAATTTAGAAGAAATCGTACCACTTTTAGTCCGGATCAACTCGAAGAATTGGAGAAAGAATTTGAGAAAAGTCATTATCCCTGCGTTTCGACGAGAGAAAGATTGGCATCGAAAACATCGTTATCGGAAGCTAGAGTACAGGTGAGATTAAATTTTAAGTTGGTTTATAAGAAAGTTGAGGGAATAAAAAAAATTAAAATCAGATCGGTTTAAAAACTAATACGAAAACGTTTAACCAGGTTTGGTTTTCCAACAGACGGGCGAAATGGAGACGCCACCAAAGGATGAACCTGCTGAAGCAATCATCACCAGGTCCCCACCAACAGGGCGGGAGCCAATCGTCAATGTTCAGCAGCCGATTGACCCCCTCACCACACTACACCACCGGTTCCACCCCTGGATCGCCGCTTACTACGCATCACAGCGGGTCAGGGGCTCCGGGAGGCCCATCGACCCTTTTGCTGCAGATGGGCGGCGAAAATAGTGCCTTCAAAGCCTTAGTGCCCAACTCATTGCTCGGTTCTCACGATGTAAGAAGCTTAAGCGCTTATATGTCCGATTCCGATGAGGAAATTAACGTGAATGACGAATCCGATATGGAAGATACGGTCAGAGACAGATCGCGGTCTTCAAGTCCAGTTGAAGTGGTTGATCCACCCCAAAAGGATCCACCCACATGTCAACCGTTGCAGTTAACGATGCACGATCGCGATTAAAAAAAGTGTTTCCTTTTGCACAGACACTCACCGTTCTTTCTTAATTTGTACTTTAAATCGGTACCAAAGCAAACTGTCTTAATTAATTATTTTTATTTTATCAGAAAAGAAGAAGTATCAATATTATTGAATTATCTTTTCTAAAATGTATTAAGTAATTAATTTTTCGTTTATTATAAATTAGTTTATAATAAATTTTTTTTTTTTGTAAATATTTATGTAGGTAATAATAAATTTAAAGAAAAATGTCCTAATTTATATCATCTATTTGAATATAGTGTCAGTTAGGCTGTGAATTGACTGACCATGTATATAAATTGATAAGGCCGCTAATAAGTTAATAGAGATAATTTTAAGCAATGTTCCTTTAGTTCTATTTTCCGCGTGAACCGATGCAAACGAGGAACCGCACTTGTAACCTTGGTGCACCCGAGCATGCTCAAAAAATCTCCTGTAAAGAGTCGTAAATGGATGTTAAATGGTTGGCCGTCGAAACGGATTTTGACATGTTTGTAAAGTAGACCATAAGAGATGACAAATTGTACTTTGCTCTCCCGTTGTAAATCTTGTAGATTTGCATATATATGTTATTTATTGTTTTTTGATGTTTTATTTTCACTATTTTCGTTTAATTTTTTTAACAGGGTGACAAATAATCCGGTAAGTAAATCAAAATGGAAATAAATTCTTTGGATAAACAAATATATTTAAAAACCAATAAACGTCTATGAATAATAATTATAACGTCAACTTGGAACGGTTTAAAAGAGAAATAATAGATTCGAGAATAGTCTTTGCTGGCAGACGATCCGTAAGCGTCTTGCCCAATAAATTAAGGCTATATTGAAGTGTAAACGTCCACTCACGGTCCGGTATTTGGACTCGCAGCGTTGTTTGCACACAAAACCCTTGTCCGCAACGACCTTATCTACCTACAAAGATCGTCGGCTACAATAAATCTAAAGGCTACCATCCACACGGACACACCTTACCGTGTAAACACGCGACGCCTTAAATTATCCACAATTGTGTATCGACGTACCCGAGTATTCAGGTAATAGCTTCACTATTACAACCGAGCTTCTCTTTATTCTCATCTCTTATGCAATAACAAAAAAAAACGATGACGAAAATATTGATTAAAATACTAAATGTCCGTTGATTTAATTTCTTCGTTATAGCAGGAGAAATGTCGTAAAATCTTAGATCACACAGCTTATAACACTTCGCGTCGCCGTTATTGCGCTTATTTACGCCTTACGTTCGAAAGTAAATACGAATTAATTTTATTGATTTCACCGGATGGGTACTAAAAGTTTATCGCTTAGTGCATACCGCGATCGTCGTTGCCGCACAAGTAACTTTATTTCTTAATAATTAACCAAAATCGGCAACGAAATCAATTTAAAATGGTGATTAAGAACCGTTAAAACTCAATATAATTGCGCGCGATGACAATTTACGTGCAAATAAATTGTGAGTTAAATGAATCTGACCGTGAAAATTTCTAAATGAACAAAGGTCAATTCTAAAACTTAATTGAAAATAAAACATAATTATCGTGAAACATACATAGTATTACATAGTTGATTTATTAAGATATCTTTATAAGAAAGTGAAACCTTGTGTATGTGAGATTACACCGTTGATTTATGAAGATTATAAATAAGGAAGTGTTCGTTTAAGTAAAGGTCGAAGAAAAGACTTGTTGGTATTGTTTGTGAAGATTCTCGTTTTCCTTTCGACGTTCGGGCGCCTGATTTACGCCTCCCGATAAACGGACGTAATCCTGTCGAACAGGGGACACGTCGTGTTCGCACTCGTGTCTCAATTTACATAACCGGACCGTTTGCTCTTAATCCAGGCGCGTTTCGACACCGGGACGACCGGACTTTATGCGCCGTTTATCGGACGCCACCACAGAGCCCGATCCTCGCAGGATAACGGCGGCGTAACTTTAACGCCGCAGCAATGTGTCTGCTCCTTGCACGATAGTAGCGACGCCTTCAAGTCCACAAATAAAATCCCACTTTAATCTTGGTTTACTCTTAAAACACCCACACGTTAACTAATTTTTAGACCCCAAAGAAGTGGAGATATCAATAAGCGATCAAGATACAAACCTAAATAATTAAGTAAATTGTGGATACTTAATTGATTCTGTGAAAAATCCAAATGGTGGCGGCGGCATCGTGTTCGTATATACACTTACGACTCATTCGAAAACGTAAAATTTAACAACCGTCCACTTTGTAGCCCCTAGCGAGCGATCGGTACGGTCCTTAGGGTAATTAGGGGCCGTAAGCGGCATTGTTTAGGCGCAATCGTAATTAATTAATTCAATTAACCGGCCGGTCGAAAAAGCGGGCACCTCGTTAAGCCGGGACGAAAAGACGTAGAAATCTCGGACGCGACGACGTGACCGATGATTTTAATGTCTCAATTTATCGGGTCTCCGGGACACGGACGTCGTCGTCGTGGACGTGGGCGAACGGCCGCCCAATTATTTTCTGTCTACGCGCGGTTTTTTCGGTTCTTCAACGGACGCCTCCCGCTTTTACGACCGTTTTATGGTGCGTGTGGACGAACCTCTTCTTTTAGTTTCGATTCCGGCCTCCGAATTCGGAGATATTTAAATATGCGGTCAAAAAAGTACGGGTTTTATTACCCGTTTATCTCAATCTATCTACCGTTAGAGATTCTCGCTCGATTTTTTTCTCAAGAAACTAACATCCATTTTATTTATTTATCGCACATTATTGAACCTATTTTTTCTATATACATCGTTAAAACGTTTTTTTTTGTCGATGTAATAAACAGAAAGAAGTAATAAAAGAGAATTTTTAATTAATTATTACGAATTTAAACTAAGTTTTAGTCTTCATCTCCATCAAAGACTTGCTTTTGTACTTATAAAATATACATAAATATAAATATTTTTCATTTCATCCATCCGTTGTTACCACACTCTAATCATCATTCATAAAGTACTTTGTAATATTTGCGTGTAGTTTTCTGTATGGCTATGTTGTAAAAGGTGGTATAACTTTTCCAGAAGCACAAACATTAACATAACATTTAAATTTTGTTTTGCCTTTTCTATGTTTTGAAATAAAGAAAAAACACGTTTCTGTTACTGCAGTACAAGGTGACGTATCACCTTCTGAAGTACGAGTGGTTAATGATTGAACCTGGTTATTATCTTTAAACAGATTGGATTTCTTATTATTGTATATGGCACAGGTAAAGCGTACATTTCAGTTAATGTACGCATTAGCCAGTCAATGTATACATTAACGTAACGTTTTAGTGAAAGTATTTATCGGTTATAGAGTGTATATGTTACAGTTAAAGCATTCATTCCGTAAATGTACACATTGTCTAGTCAATGTATACATTAACTAATTTATCTAGTTAATGTATATATAAAATACGAAATGTAAACTTTTACTAGTTGTTGTATACAATTACTAATGACGCCCAGTTAAAGCTTAAAATACGTTTACTGGTATATTACATAACGAAACCCAACCCAACCTAAAAAATGGTTACTACTATACTTACTTATTTACTACTTGCATAACATGCAATCCCTTCCATTAAAAAAATTATACCGGAAATTTCCTTTGTTATAACTTTTACTAACGTCTGTTAGCAAATGCATACACTGCCTAGTTTATGTACACATTCACTAGTAAATGTATACACTCTATGACTGATAAATACTTTCACTAAAACGTTACGTTAATGTATACATTGACTGGCTAATATGTACATTAACTGAAATGGACGCTTTACCTGTGACATATACATTTACTAGTGAATGTGTACATAAATGTTATAAAACTATATAAAAGTTATAACAAAGAAAATTTACGGTATAATTTTTTTAATGAAAGGGATTGCATGTGATGAAAGTAGTTCTTACTACTAGTAAGTATTGTAGTGACCATTTTTTGGGTTGGGTTGGGTTTCGTTATGTAATATACTAGTAAACATATTTTAAGCTTTAACTGGGCGTCATTAGTAATTGTATCACGGAATGAATGCTTTAGCTGTAACATATACATTACAGATAATTCAAGGTCAATTTTTCTTTTAGAAAAGTCTTTCCTATAACATTCCAAAAACTAAATCCTAAAATTCCAAATCTTGTGATCTCTAAGATTAAGTGTCCAGATTCCTTAAAAATCTATACCAAGCATGTTATTAGTTATGCCAAAAATAATAAAGATATACATGACGATCCAATTTATTCTGACAATAATTTGCTGCACATTGTTGCATGCGTGTTTCGTAAAGATCATAACTGTCGTTCTGGACAGTTTCAACCTTTCTAAATAGATGGAGTAAGGTACTTAGGTTGAATGAGGTTTATTTATACGAATTAGTAATCAAATCTGGTATTTCTCAATTTCTGCATATCTTAAAGCATCCGAGCTGCATAACGTAGTTTAAGGCATTCGTCTTAAATCTTAATTATTATAGTTTCTATAACAAGTTGTCTTTGAATGCCAGAACTTTAAATCTTACCAAATTTAGTAAAACCGTTAAAGAAGCTCTACTAAAAAAATGTTTCTAACGATTGATGAATATTTGATCTGTAGCAATATTTTCGATTAAGGCATTTTTTTTGTTTTTATATGCCATCCATTGTTTGATTTTTTTTAATCTTTTCTTGACGTTTTTGTATTGTATTGACAAACAAATAAAGATTATTATTATTATGGCCTATGCTATGAGGTTGAGCTCCGACTTTCATATCATCGATATATAGTATATCTAGTATAGGAGATCTTCCGGAGAGTCTGTTTGCACTGTTTTTTCTATCCTTGTTAGGCTTGAGGCTTCCATACGTTTAGCATCATCATCAGTAATTCTACAGCCCTATAGGTTGGCCTCGACTTTCTTTAGCCTCGTCCGCCATCCTTTCCTGACTTTTGCAACGGTCCTCCAGGTATTATTATTATTGCTGTGAGGCTGAGGGGAGCGGCCCCTCTCGTCACTGCGTCCTATATATTATAACTTTAGCCCTTCAAAAGTTTAGGGCAAATGTAGGTCATTAATGAACCTTAGTATTGCTCAAAGCTCTTGTTCTTGATCGTTGTTATTAAG